CAACTTTGCCCCCATTCGTATCTCCTACCATTTCCGAGATCCCAATCATGAGCATCAAATTGAAACACACGGCATAAGTTTTTTACGTAGTAGCTCTGCGGGTGTGTAATACCGTTTATAACATACCATATGACATTTGAAGGCTCATTTTATATTCACTAGTACTAAATCAATACATCTATGATATAAAATAAATGATATTATTTTAAAAAGATAAAGGGTTAAGATCGGTTAACATAGGGTCAAGAAATTAAATCTGGCTTTTTGGACCCGTGCCCATGTGCTTGTACTAGTTCGGGTATCCCAGCGGGAACGTGATTCACACCGATGCCATTGATTACGGTACGTCACATGAGCTGAGATCCGATTGCAACGCGGCGCGGCGACGCCGACGTCTAGCGTCAGCGTCGCAAGGCGTCGTGACGCCCTGTTTAGCATAATGCTCGTTAATCGGCAGATGCCCGCTGCCTAGGACCATGTCCGTCAGAATCAACCCATTACCCAGCTAATCTCGTTGCTCCTGCACCTGTTCGTGTACCGAGTGTTCAGCTACGTACAGTAAGGATCATTACTAAGTAAACACTGATTTGAACACAATGGCAATATTTCTAGAGAGTACACTGAAAAATAACAAAAGATGGCGTCAAGTAGGTTGACTCTGTACTTCCCACGCAACTCTGTCAACAATTAAAATACGTTCGATTGATTTCCATATCAAACGCCAAATCAACTAGCAATGTTATGGCTGGAGGGGGATAGTGCGTATTTTGCGATAATCAAATGCCAGTTGTAGCTACAAAACACAACTACCGCTTATTTACTTTTTTCATAGAAACCACTTTATTAATATGGTTGAAAAGATGTCCATTTTTTCCTAACCTAATCAAACATATATCTAGAAAATCTTTGCAATAATCCATTATTACTGGAGGTTCTTTTAATAATAATCGACTAGTGTCACGATTTAAGATAATCAGCTATACTAAGTGACATATAAATCTGAACACCCAGTTTAAATGGTTTTATTTTAATAAAAGTTGGTGAATGTAAATAACAAGTGAAAAAATTTTCAGCCTTATCAGTTGGACATTCCAGTTTTTATACTGTTTTTTTTTAATTCACTAACGCTCTAAAAATGAATATTTCAGCCGCAGTAAAGAATCAACGTTGGCGGATTTTGGTTCTTGACATCCTTTACGATCGGTTACGATGCCTAGAGTACGGAGACCTGTACGATTTCGTCAACTTAATGAGTTTGATAGGGGCCGTATAGTGGGACTTCGGGAAGCTGGACTTTCTTTTCGGGCAATTGCAGTTAGATTGCAAAGAAGTGTAGACACTGTGGTTAGGTGTTGTCAGGCATGGCTTCGAGAAGGCCGTACGCAAAGAGCAAGAGGCACTGGACGCCGCCGTAGAACAACAGACCGTGAAGATCGCCGCCTAAGATTATTGGCCTTAAGGGACCGTTTCTCCACTACCAGGTCCATTGCAAATGAATGGTTTGCAGAACCCGGAAGACCTATTGGCATGCGAAGTGTTTACCGACGAATGAGAAGTTTTGGCTTGTTTTCATACCGGCCACACTGGGTCCTCCCTTTAACTCGAGAACACCGACGTAATCGCCTTGAGTGGTGCAGACAACGGTCACTCTGGGATCAGGAATGGAACAGTATTGTCTTTAGTGATGAGTCTCGATTTTGTTTAGGCATGCACGATGGTCGTGCCAGGGTTAGAAAGCGACGTGGTGAAAGGAGGAATCCACAGTTTTTTGTTGAAAGACATGTTCATCACACTGTTGGAGTTATGGTTTGGGGTGCTATAGCTTATGGTTCCAGGTCACCTTCAATCTTCATCAGAGGTAACATGAACGCGCAGCGTTATGTCTACGAAGTTCTAGAACCCCATCTTTTACCCTATCTTGACACCCTGGCAGATCCAACTTTCCAACAAGATAATGCCCGACCACATGTTGCAAGTGTCACAATAGACTTCTTTCAACATAATGATGTCACATTGTTACCATGGCCACCAAGATCTCCCGACTTATCCCCAATTGAGCACGTGTGGGATATGATGGGTAGGAGATTGCTCAATTTGCAACGTCCTCCTCAGACTCTAGAAGCACTTCGAGAGGAGTTGGTGGTTGCCTGGAATGAGATACCACAGGAGGACATTGACCACCTGATCAGAAGCATGCCTAGGCGCGTTGGAGAATGCGTAGCACATCAGGGTGCATCCACACATTATTAAAGATCAAAGTGCTTTAAAGCAGTGCAATCATTTTGAAATTTTTATCATTTACTTATTATGCTTCATTAAGTACTTATACAAAATTTTATTAAAATAAAACCATTTAAACTGGGTGTTCGGATTTATATGTCACTTAGTATATTTATTAAAATACACAACTTTCTTCTTATTTGTTGTTTTGTCATTCTCATAATTTCCTTCATCTCCATCTGGGTCTTGTTCATCTAGCTCAAAGTCTGGATCGCCCAAGCTCTTCGCAACATTATGGAGTACAGTACAAGCAATAATTATTTTCGGCACATTTTCCAGCTTTACGCGGCAAACATACTGTAGGATAGGAAACCGGCACTTCAGTTGGCCTAAACAGGGTTCAATTTTAACTCTTTCTTGTTTTAAAAGCTTATTATAATTTATTTCTGCACCTGGAGTAGGATTTCTGAGGGGAGTCATAAGCATGGCTCAATACCATAACCGTCATCGCCAAGTAGTACAACATTTGCTTTATTTATTAGTCTGTGAATTTCTCCATATTCTGGAATCACGCACTGATCCAGGCCAACTGACATCAACACTTATGAACATCTCTCTGGCATCACAAGTGGGTTGCACATTTAAAGTAGGTTTCCCTTTCCGGTTCATATACTCATCTCCATGGCGATATGGTTTCAGGATTCCTATATCTGTACAATCAATTACACCAATTGCTGTCGGAAATTTATACATGCTTTGCCATATCCGCTTGGCCTCCATCAGTTCATGGTTGTTAGTTGGAAACTTGATCCATTCGTTCGACTGTGCAGCTATGCTGTTCACAACTCTATCCACAGTCCGAGATACCGTTGCTTGACTAACACCAAGTTCCTGACCAATACCTTGTTGATATCCAGGGTCATCGAGATATTGTAGACATATCTACATTTTATGAATACATGAAAGTGCTCCTCCTAGAGTTTCCTCATTCTCAACTAAAAATCTGTCCGCAAGCCATTGTACATTTGCTTCGTCGAACCGATACAATTTTTAGAAGTGAAGGTAAACGAGATTCGTACGTTTTAACATCCCTAACATCCACAATTTCCGCCATCATCGTTTGACCACCTTTCGTTACGAAGTTGAGTCTGCTACTGACCGCACTCGGAATGTTTGAAGGATATGCTTCCTATGCCAAGTATAAGGTGAAAATTATGAATATCGTTTTACTAATGTCACTGCTTTGAAGGATATGCTTACACTCAAAAAGTAAAAGCATTTACTTCAAATTATTATAAATACCATCTGGAGGATTTCCTTCAAAATTTGCAAGTACAAGGATATCCTTTGTTTTATGAATACGACTCATTATCTCAAAAAAAGTTGAATTCAGGCATGGACGCTAACTCAGAAAAAAGGAAAATTTCGGAATACAAAATTTAAAAGGATTTTACATTAAAGAAACGTTTGGTCTGCTTTCATCACTTTTTGGCTACCCTGAATATAAAATATTTTTTTATTTATAATTTAACTTTTTCAATTTCTTATAATAAGGAATCTATGAAACTCCGTCAACACCTTTTTGAGACATTCATATTTTTTCCTGTACCCTTCAAATGTTTAGTTTGTATACACCCGGTATTGTTAGTTTTTTTTTATCTGGTTGACATCAGGTTGTAAACCACAGCCACAGATTTTTAAAAAGTAGTTCATACTTCATATTTTTATTTTAGATTTAGCTAAGGTATTGTTAGGTGGTATACTCGTATTACTCATATCTAAATCTCGCCTCCTGTAAGTTGTTAGAAATAAACAAAACGTTAATTATTATAATTATTTTGAGAAAACAGTGGGTTAAATAGTCCAGAGCAAATCACTCCCTTGTATACCCGGTACTCCGTATTCAGTATTAGAATCTGACCGAGTGCTCAGTGCATCCAAACCACGCAGCATAAACAATAATTGCCGCTAGTGATTGCTCAAAAGTCCGGTAGTATAATAACGTACAACGCATTGGCATTCATGAAAAGCACCCCGCGGCCCCATATAACAATGCGCTTTTATTGCCGGGCTGTCATTTGATGTAATTGTGACGGAAGTGGTGGCGGACATTTTTAGGAAAACCTCAATTACAAACGCGGCTACTACACCAACTGATTGATCGAAGGAAATAAAAAGGTTCGACGCGTCAATCGGAAAATGCACTTCGTCGGTATTGCCAATTTTTCCATTGAAAAAAAGGAGTGACAACGTATCGGTTTTTACTAAACATCACGAGCTTGAAACGATGCATTAGTCGATTATTGAATCAGGGAATATCCTTTATAAAGTCAGTAGACATATGATTTTCAAACACGTTGTAATGCCATTTTGTTGTTACCAATCAAAGAACATTATTATTACTATTATTATTATTTCAGTGTTTTTCTTTTGCCCTACTGTGACAGTTTCAAGCGAATCCAGATCTCTACCCGAGATCAAAGCGATTCACCCTAAGGTAACCAAAGTTCGTGTGGTTTTTAGTAGAACAATATAAATTTTTATTGAGAAACAATAAGACACAATTTATTCGTCGAAGTAATTACCATCACGTTCAATGACCTTTTGCCAACGTGGAACCAATTTTTGTATGCCGGTATTGTAGAACTCCGTGGATTTGGAGTCAAAAAATTGGCGGACTGCATTTACTACACCATCTCGAGTTGTGAACTGTCAGTGCCTCATACAGTTGTCAAGAGACAAAAAAAGGTGACAATCACTGGGCAAAATGTCGGGTGAATATGACGGGTGCGGTAACGTTTCCCAGCCGAGTACAAAAAAATTTGCTCGGATCAGTTGTGCGGTATGAGGCTTGGCGTTATCCTGCAAGAATATCATTTTCTTCCGATTGATCAAAGAAGGCTGTTTCTGGATGAGTGCTGCTTGTAACTCGTTGAAGCTGCTCAAAATACAAGTTAGCAGTGATGGTTTGACCCCTTTCCAAAAGCTCATAATGGACAATTCCAGTTGCTGTCCACCAAACACACAACAAAACCTTGTTTGGGTGCAAGGAAGCCTTGGACGTGAGTGGTACCGGATCAGTAGGTGACAACCCATGATACGAACGCTTAGAATTCGAATACAAGATCCATTTTTCGTCGCAGGTTAGAAACCGATTAAGAAATGGTTCATTAGCGTTGCGTGAAATGTTTGCTGAACAAATGGTAAGACGACTTAATTTGTTATCATTTGTCAGTTCATGTGGAACCCATTTGCTTAACTTCCACGTCTTTCCTAGCTGATGAAGATGCAAACGAATAGTTTCAGGACTTACTCTGAACATTTCTGCAAGTTCTTGGCACGTTGTGCTGGAATTTGCGTCCACAACCTGTCGAAGATCCTCGTTGTTCATAATTTTTGGTCTCCCTGAGCGCGGATCATCGCTCAAACTGAGATCTCCCGAAGAAAATTTTTTTGACCACTCCTTTTGTACCAAGTTTGTACTCATACCGTAAACAACTTCGAATTACTGTTTTATTTGTCATCATTTTCAATTATTAAAACTAGGTATGTAACAATTTTCAGCAACTTTTTATGTGTGTGAGAAAAGAAGGATTCATACTAAAGTGACAACAGGTAACAAACAATCGCTAACGATCAACAACATCCATGGCAATGCGCGATATACAGCAACCGCAGGAACTTATTTGGTTACCTGATACCTTGCAGTGCCCGGTCGTGCTATTTTCTGCACTTCAGCAGTAGATGGTTGTCCTGGTTGTTGTGACATGTTGGTCTGTATTCCCTTCCTAATGGTCCCTAGAGCCCCTACAATGACTGGAACTGTTCGGGTCTTACAGTTCCACATTCTTCTATTTCCAGGTCTTTTCGAATTGTAAGGAACTGCTTCGTCAACCAGTAAGCAGATTTTCGTTCTTTTATCATGGTACACTATGTCCGGGAGGTTCGCAGGTATGGTTCTACGAGGGATGTCTTTTAAGTTTTGCATATGGAAATAATTCAACACGGTAGGTAGTTTTAAATGACTTTATTGTTTTTCGAAGTATGCTCCACGAAGATTAATACACATCTGCATGCGCTCGAACCAATTTTCGAAGCACTTATTCCACTCGTTTGCTGGCAGATCCAAGACGGCATTTTTGAATGCGTCAACTGCTTCTTCTGGTGACTGGAACCTTTGACCACGCAGTCTGTCTTTAATTTTCGGGAAAGTAAAGAAATCGTTATGACTTAGATCGGGACTATATGGAGGATGGTCCAATAATTCCACGTTTTCTTCCGTTAAATACTGCCTTGTTTTTTGGGCTGTGTGCGAGCTTGCATTGTCTTGGTGAAGGATGATTCTACCTTGGGGGTTGATATTTCGAAGCGCGGTGATGACTTTTGGCAAACAAATGGTGGTATACCAATCCGCAGTAACAGTTCTTTGCTCATTAAGAGGAACTGTTGCAATATGTCCCGCTTTTGACACTAATGTCGCGACCATCTTTTTCGAAACACTTCGAGAACGGATGACTTTTGTTGGCTTTTCTTCACCTTGGAACACCCAAACAGCCGACTGTCGTTTATTTTCTGGTTCATAACAGTAAATCCACGATTCATCACCACTAACAATGCTGTACACATCTTTGAGCTTCCGGAATTGAAACGGTCAAGCGTTTTTTGACACCAATTAACCCTGGCTGCTTTCTGCTCTTCAGTCAACAGGTGGGGTATCCAACGGAAACTAATTTTTTTACTCCTAATTCTTCATGTAAAATTTTTTGAATTGAGGTCTTTGAGATCTTCAAGGACGGCTTAATCTTGCGATATGTCACATGTCTATCTTCAATGATGAGTTTGCGCACAGCGTTTTCCTGGGTGACTGCCGTTTTTGGTGCACCCACCTTGGGATCGTCGCTAAGACTCACCCGTCCACGTTTGAATTCTCCATGCCAACGGGAAATTTGCGACTGATGTGGCGCTTCGTTGCCAAAAACAGACAGTAACTCAGCAAGGGATTCTTGTTGCGATAATTGTCTCTGAAAGTTGTAAAAAATTATGGCGCGGAAATGTTCTCGGTTGAGTTCCACTTTTCTAATGACTTGGTGTCACTTAAAAATTCACTGTAGTTAGAACACTGCACATATTGTTGTGAAACTTTGAATTTAAGTTTACTTAAGAGTGAGGTTAAGATTCAGTACTGACGTTCGATCCGCGCGGCCTACTATGTTTCTATACTAAATGACATATAAATCCGAATGAAGCATAATAAGTAAATGATAAAAATTTCAAAATGATTGCACTGCTTTAAAGCCCTTTGACCTTTAATAATGTGTGGATGCACCCTGATGTGCTACGCATTCTCCAACGCGCCTAGGCATGCTTCTGATCAGGTGGTTAATGTTCTCCTGTGATATCTCATTCCAGGCAACGACCAACTCCTCTCGAAGTGCTTCTAGAGTCTGAGGAGGACGTTGCAAATTGAGCAATCTTCTACCCATCATATCCCACATGTGCTCAATTGAGGATAAGTCGGGAGATCTTGGTGGCCATGGTAACAATGTGACATCATTTTGTTGAAAGAATTCTATTGTGACTCTTGCAACATGTGGTCGGGCATTATCTTGTTGGAAAGTTGGATCTGTCAGGGTGTCAAGATAGGGTAAAAGATGGGGTTCTAGAACTTCGTGGATATAACGCTGCGCGTTCATGTTACCTCTGATGAAGATTAAAGGTGACCTGGAACCATAAGCTATAGAACCCCAAACCATAACTCCAGCAGTGTGATGAACATGTCTTTCAACAAAAAACTGTGGATTCCTCCTTTCACCACGTCACCTTCTAACCCTGGCACGACCATCGTGCATGCCTAAACAAAATCGAGACTCGTCACTAAAGACAATACTGTTCCATTCCTGATCCCAGAGTGACCGTTGTCTGCACCACTCAAGGCGATTACGTCGGTGTTCTCGAGTTAAAGGGGGGACCCAGTGTGGCCGGTATGAAAACAAGCCAAAACTTCTCATTCGTCGGTAAACACTTCGCATGCCAATAGGTCTTCCGTGTTCTGCAAACCATTCATTTGCAATGGACCTGGTAGTGGAGAAACGGTCCCTTAAGGCCAATAATCTTAGACGGCGATCTTCAAGGTCTGTTGTTCTACGGCGGCGTCCAGTGCCCCTTGCTCTTTGCGTACGGCCTTCTCGAAGCCATGCCTGACAACACCTAACCACAGTGTCTACACTTCTTTGCACTCTAACTGCAATTGCCCGAAAAGAAAGTCCAGCTTCCCGAAGTCCTACTATACGGCCCCTATCAAACTCACTAAGTTGACGAAATCGTACAGGTCTCCGTACTCTAGGCATCGTAACCGATCGTAAAGGATGTCAAGAACCAAAATCCGCCAACGTTGATTCGTTACTACGGCTGAAATATTCATTTTTAGAGCGTTAGTGAATTAAAAAAAAGCAGTATAAAAACCGGAATGTCCAACTGATAAGGCTGAAAATTTTTTCACTTGTTATTTACAGTAAGATAAATACATTCACTAATTTTTATTAAAATAAAACCATTTAAAACTGGGTGTTCGGATTTATATGTCACTTAATATATGTCACAGGTAGGGTTCGAGGATTGATCCCTGTGGTACTCCGTAGCGTTTGTTGGATAACGCAGGCTGCCGAGCATTCTTACTACTTTGTTGATTCCACTGTGAGCAGTCAACGATTGGACTAATATGATAGATCTCAGCATGCCTGTAGATGTAATTTACCAAATGAATGGTTTGCAGAACACGGAAGACCTATTGGCATGCGAAGTGTTTACCGACGAATGAGAAGTTTTGGCTTGTTTTCATACCGGCCACACTGGGTCCTCCCTTTAACTCGAGAACACCGACGTAATCGCCTTGAGTGGTACAGACAACGGTCACTCTGGGATCAGGAATGGAACAGTATTGTCTTTAGTGACGAGTCTCGATTTTGTTTAGGCATGCACGATGGTCGTGCCAGGGTTAGAAGGCGACGTGGTGAAAGGAGGAATCCACAGTTTTTTGTTGAAAGACATGTTCATCACACTGTTGGAGTTATGGTTTGGGGTGCTATAGCTTATGGTTCCAGGTCACCTTTAATCTTCATCAGAGGTAACATGAACACGCAGCGTTATATCCACGAAGTTCTAGAACCCCATCTTTTACCCTATCTTGACACCCTGGCAGATCCAACTTTCCAACAAGATAATGCCCGACCACATGTTGCAAGAGTCATAATAGACTTCTTTCAACATAATGATGTCACATTTTGACCATGGCCACCAAGATCTCCCGACTTATCCCCAATTGAGCACGTGTGGGATATGATGGGTAGGAGATTGCTCAATTTGCAATGTCGTCCTCAGACTCTAGAAGCACTTCGAGAGGAGTTGGTGGTTGCCTGGAATGAGATACCACAGGAGCACATTGACCACCTGATCAGAAGCATGCCTAGGCGCGTTGGAGAATGCGTAGCACATCAGGGTGCATCCACACATTGTTAAAGGTCAAAGGGCTTTAAAGCAGTGCAATCATTTTGAAATTTTTATCATTTACTTATTATGCTTCATTAAGTACTTATACAAAATTTTATTGAAATAAAACCATTTAAACTGGGTGTTCGGATTTATATGTCACTTAGTATATATGTTATGTTGCTGACCTGACGGTAGAAAACATTGCAGGACAAATGATGTCACATTACACAAATAAGTTGTTAGCTAAATGCATATAGCCATTATAAGAGCAAAGAGTGCAATGGAAAATATGTTTGAATACTACCATCGCTGGGGGCTTATTTGTAATAAGTAAAAAACTGAATGTATCGTATACGCATCCTAAACAGAACAACTTAAGCGAGAATGGAGAGCAAACAGTCTTTACCAGCGTCCTCGATCAAATACGATGCCGTGGGCTCAATCTTAATAAAACAGTCAGCACAGTCCTCCTCGTTAAAGATAGAATTTTTAAGGCTAATCAAGCAGCTTACGCTTTGTCACCATTCATGGGTTTCAGCCCGAATGTTTGACCAAGTAGATCATCTAATCAGGCAGCCAAGCCAGCGATGCCAAATCCAGGCTCTAAGATTCAGGCCTATATACCTCATTATAGTAATACTTTGTCTCTTATTGTCCTCCTGGTATTTCACCACTTTCCTAAGAAGTACATACAGGGTGTTCATTTGATAACTTCCCACCACGGATTTATCGCAAACCACGGATTAAAAGAGAAAACGCCGAGACACGTCAAAAGATTAGTCAAAGGGGCAACTTTTTTTTCCAAAAACCACTTCACCTCCTTTCACCCTCTGCCTCACAGGGTCATTCCCTTAAAAAGTTTAAATGATAAGGGGAAGGGCAATAGTTTGTTTGAAAGGTCTTTCGGAGTCCTTCATTTTGACGTT